TTCATCCATTTTGCTATGTATCTAGACATAAATATGTCTAGATACATAGCAAAATGGATGAATCAAAAAAGTCAAAACGACATTTATTTTGAATAGGAGGTAGTAATATTTATCTACACTAATGCATAATGGCAGTTACCAATTAATTATAACCATTCTCCACGTGCATTTAATTTGCCTATTCTGTTACCATATCAATTCAACTCTCTCTTATTCTTTTGACCGTGATTTGCGTCAGTTGCTATAAAAAAATTTAATTTTATTCTGAAAAAAGTTACGCAAATAACTACCTCAAAAAATATATATATTTCATATATACTACATATATTGTACATATACCACAAAATAACAAAACAATAGAGGCACTATCGATTTTTTTCTTAAGAAAAGTTACGCAAATATATCACAAAAAAAGGTTGACGGATCAACCAAAATCAAGATTGAATGGAGGTTGATTGGATGTTGAATGGATATGGATACATAATATATACTAACATAAACACAACATATACCATCATATACGCAAACCGTAATGAGTATTGTATATATTTTCTGTGATTTTGCTGAGTATAAACCATACATATACCGAAAATATATTCGACATAAACCATACATATAACGGGAAAACGATACAAACACGATACAAAACGATGACGACCGAGGGGATGGCTCGGTAGACGATCTCGTCGAGGGAGTAAGACTCGGTGGAGTATGGGTCGACGTTGAAGCCCCCGACAATTCTTCCATCTCACGCCTCATAGCCTCTCTTTTTTCCTTAATTTCTTCTAATTTCTTACATACAGATTGATCACCACATGAAGGACCCTTTGTATCCATGTAATCCATTAACGGATGAAAAAATAAAAATAAAAAAATTGAGGCAACTTTTGTCTTCTTTTTCACTTTTTTTTTGTTTTATTTATTTGGAGGCTATGGTTTTTAATGGAGGAAAACGCAACGGCAGGGTAACGCTAGATGGAACGGCGGCATGGATTTGGATTGTGAAGAGAGAGAGAGAGAGAGAGAGAGAGAGAGAGAGAGAGAGAGAGAGAGAGAGAGAGAGGAGAAGGAGAGAGACGTAGTTAATGGGTAAAAAGTTATCATATACATAGGAAATCAAACTTTTTGGTAATTAATAGAGTCCCATTAATTCCTCAAACATATCTTTAGGCATATATGCAAATAAATTTAACAAAATTAATTAATTTGTAAATACTTATATAAGGGATGTAATCTATATATATATTAAAGCAAAGCAGTTCAAAATTTCCCCCCAAAAATTATATTTAATACATTGTAATAACTTTTATCAATTTCTATGCATGACTTATTAACAAAAAATATTTATGTCATATAAACAATTAATTTATATTTTAAATGTATTGGAATTTGCACTCCAATTTTTCTTGACTAAATAAATGCTTTAACTACATCTATTACCATGAAATAAATTTTGTTAATTTCTATGTATTATTTACCATTCAAACAATAACATAAATATGTGTTACAAGTAAATACTGTACTTATTTTAGTCATAATCAATTGTTATACAAAGCCCAATTATATATTGTTTTTATAATCAATTATTGTTACAAATAATGTTTAATATTATACATAATTATTTATTATGGATTCTCATCTCAATACCTCACTTATTATTTGTCTCACTTACAGTTTGTGAGTATGAGTTCCTTTCCTTTTATAATAATTTTTATAATAATAAATTATCAATCTTATTTAATTAATCACTAAAATAAAATTTCAAGTCAAATATTTTATTTAGTTATTATTTTTATTGGAACATCAAACACAATATTATGTTTTCGGTTATATTGGGTATATTTCAAGGTAAAATAGATAAAAATAATAACTAATATGATATCTATATGTAACATATGTTTTCATAAAAATATTTAATAGTAGCACCATACCACATTTGAAACAAATACTCTATATTGATGGAATTTACATACACATTAAAGAAAATATGTAATCATCTCTTATTAATCTAATATTGTATAATTTTATATCTTTATATAATTCTAAGAAATTATAAGTGCTCATTAGTTTATTTGTATTGAGTACATCATTCCAAAACAAGTAATTTAAATTGTAAAATATCTAATCATTCACAAACTCTTATGTGAGCTGAAGTAAGAGTTAGTCAAGACAACGTGTCATTTTTTTTAACAAAAATGTGAACTTAGACCTCCAATTTTCACACTTTGTTTATTTTATTTTATTATATATCTTTTAAATAATAAATAAAATAAAAATAGAGTGAAATAAAAAATAATGATGTTATATTTATCATATATAACATAATTTATTCGACTAAAAGAGATGTATTTTTCAACAAAATTATCATATCCATATGAAATAGATCTAAAAAATGTTGAATAACCTTAACTTGAGTAAAAAAAAATAAAAAAAAAAATAGAAAATGGTAACATAAAGAGTGAGGGGTCTCAACAACAACAAGAGAGTTAAAATAAGTATTTATATAGTTTTGACTCATAAGATAAAAATGATCATATTGATTGAATATATCTGATAGCCATTTGCTTTATTTATTTTATTTGATCTTAAATTTGAGGTTACATAAAAGTTGGTGAAAAGTGACAACGCTTAAATTTTATAATAAATACACAATTATACAGCTTAATTTTTATAATAAATACACAATTATACAACTAAAAATTTTATAATAAAAGTAGCATAATGCGTCAATTATTGTTTAACTTTTGTTTATAAACAAATCTTTTTTTTTAATGAGAGATTGATGAGAGTATATTATCACAACTAAATGATGTAGTGATAAAGTTAAATACAACTTATTAAATGATT